CGTCACCTGAATAAAGTTAGCTTATACCATTCTACTGCGCATCTAGAACAGAATGGTCCATAGAATTTAGATCAGTGGCATAATTACCATTCTATGCATAGTGGCATCGATGACAAGCATAATGTTGGCATTCCACTGGGCTTCGATTGGCACCAACAAGAACTATGCCTGCACAAAATTCCCTGAGGCCATAATTCCTGCCGTGGCAGTCACAGCATTCCCAGCCCATGCGGATTAGATCCTGGACAAAGCAATACGCTTCACCACATGGAGAATCCACTGCAACATCTGTGACAGTTCTCTCCTGCCCACACATTGTCTGTCTCCCTGTTCTTTGGTTGACTCTAGCATAACGACAATATGTTATACCTCGTTGGAGAATTCGATGTCCACAACGATAGACTCGATACTGGCGACCACACATTGTTTTTAATAAAAACCAAAGAGAAATACGTGCAGAATGCTTTTGTCGACCGAAACGATGTGAATTGGATAAAGAATATTTTGAATATGTCTTCGTTGAGTATCTGAATCAAGAAGAGGATCTTGGAAGCTTCCTTATTGCTTATATGTCCAAATGCCTATAGTATTGTCCTATTTTTGGCTTGATAATGCGACACTGAGGGGCTACATGGCGGTTGCCACTTCGAACCTTTGGCGCTTAGGTCTGAAACTATCTTAGTCAATTCCACTAATTACAGGATGTCAGGTTGTTCGTTATAGAATATGGTAGCGTTTTACATCATGCGAATCATGACACTCTGAGTTCGAAGTAATTATAGGTTTTTAGTGACGTTACATTAACCGCCAACTTTGTAGCCTAATAAATGAAAAAGCACTAAGTACCGGGCCTCACTTTTCAGAAGCCAGGAGAAAGCAGAGGGAGGTCCTCGATTTCTTGTATACAGTAAAATATACATAAAAGAGAGAAAAATCATATTCGACGAACGAGGATACTAAAACTAGATATAATTATATCTCGAGATCTGACTATACTCGGTCTAGAAAATGCGCTCACCTTTAGGTCATCTAGCTTGTTGCCGCCCGCTACTCTCCCTCCCCTCCGACTTTGCCCTGTGACAGCGCTTAGTCGAAAATACTTTCACCCGTTAGGTAATCCAACTTATTGACCCCTCTTCTCCTCCATATGTGGATGAAAATCTCTCACATCCATGTCTAGATAGTGAGTAGATGTCACATTGCAGGACTCCTGGAGTACTGCATATTTCTTAGTAAAGAGCTTAATAAAGACTAAGGAGAAAGGGAAACAAGGGAAAAAAGAAGTCGAAAAGTCAGGAAATTGGAATTAGACAGAGGTAGACAACGTATACAGAATCAAGATGCAAACATAGTGAATGCACACAGGACCAAGCATTGCAACCAATCACAGATTAATGTATAAAGAGAGTAAAGGAAATTGTTGCCTTAGCCTATCAGAGGGTGTAACAGCTGACAGTAGACAGTATAAGCCCAGAACGATAGTCATCTAGTATTCATTCAAAAAGGTACCGCTTAATATTTTCAAGTCCCTGCAGATCTCCCTCGGTCGAGTTAGACTTCTCCTTCTCAACCCAACCTTCAGTATAGCCTCCTCCAAAATCAATCAGGTATGCATCCTCATTGACATCAATGAGCACATTGGCTGCCTTCGCATCTCCCCAAATGATATTATGTGAATGAAAGTGTTTAAGTGTCTGCGAAATTTGATCAACCCATTTTTGTCGGAGCTCGGAAAATTTGGGATCATGTCCATCAATGCAATTGAGTGTAGCTCCATCACAATTAATGTATGATAAAGCCAATCCCAACACATACCCATCATCATCTTGGATCAGCCCTTCCAGTTGTGATGTGAGAATCGGGGGATCGAATTTAGCCATGCGAATCTTTGAATAAGTGAGAATCTCTCTTGCGGTAATACCCATGTCACCCCCATAGACTATCTTGAAGAAGCTAGGCCGTGGTTGCCCATGAATAAATACCTTATGAGGTATTCCTGGCAGTGCAGCTGAATCTGCACTAATTGGAACCTGGACTTCCCTTGGATGGTAGACAGGAAAATCCGAGTAGTCGACAGAAGATGGTAAAGAGGCCCCGATGAGATGATTTCTCATGTTCTTGGTGTTGCTGAGATAAACGGGAACTAATTTGTCTCCAACTACCTGCACAGTGTAGTGCAATTCTTCTGCAAACAGACAATCCTCGAGAGTGTACTTTTGGTTCGGGTCCAGGGGAGCAATTTCGTGGAAGATTGGCAGAAATGGTTGCAAGATCCAATCATGCATTTCATCAAGGGGGTCTTCAAACTCCCCCTCCACATCTATCTCAGACTCATCAGGAATCCATTCTGGTTCTTGACGTTGAACGTGTCGAAGATATTCGGCCAGGAGGGCAGGCGAGCTTTCGAAGCTGGAAGTAAAAAGATCGATTTTAAAGCGTTTGTTGGAGACATAAACATTCAACTGCGTGTCTGTGTTTCTGGTGCTTGATTTAAATGGACCGATATCATAGATGGGTTGTTTCCGTGCCATCGTTGGCCATCGAGGAGTTGCGGCAAGGGAAAAAAATAAAAACTAAAAACTAAAAAGTAAAAAGGAGATAGGAGTAAGAAACTGTCAGGTCGGGGGAGTGAGTGAGGTGTACACGGCACAAAGTCATGTGACTGTCGACCAATAGGTAAGTCCGGCAAATAAATAACCATCTTCACCGCCATCACCCTCTGCAATACTTAATTGGAAAAGCTACAGGAAAGGGGTTGAGCCTGGAGAACCGACAAGACGGTATGATTTTCGGCCTCGGACGCCATGTGAGTAGAAAACGAATGAACTGAAACAATTTTTTTCTACTGCAAGTTTGTAGTAACGTATTTTTGATCACTTTAGCGCCCTTTTCAACTCGAGGATGATGAATGCCAATCATTAGTCGTTGTTGATACATACACAGGTGAAACGCCTACGGCGGAAGCCCATTGTGCAATAGTCGCCACAGTCTAGACTAGTGCTTGAATTAGATTTCGAGACATCTAGATGCTGATGCAAGTGGCCGAAATTATCTGGGCGCTTAGCTAAAAATTATACGACGGCAACTGACATCGCGTTGTCCCCTATCCCTACTTTCAGGGACAAAATCCCAACAAGTGCATTTCACGGTGGCAAAGGAAAGGAAGACCATTAGAGGTTTCATGTTGTGCGTCTCGCCGTGTAATGCAACCTGCGCCGCACGGAAGTTTCACCTGCATGGCATATCCACGCCAATCAAGGTTAGCAATGCAATATAACGTCATTCTCGGCGTCAATCTTTTTTAGGTGTCTGCTTTTGGACTCCAACCCTCTTGGGTAATAGAAGTTCGTATTCCATGCGCATGTCAATGTTAACTGACGACTTAAGCATATGTGATGAAAGAACCAAATAGCAGCCAGTGAGAATTCAATATCTGGGAAGAAGGCTTGGTGCAATTCAAGTATATAGCATGTTTAGTCATCGTCCTTGAACCATCCATCAGCCCAGTGTGAGGTCTAAATCATAGGAGGGGCGTCATTGCGTTATTCGGTGGTCCCGCGGCTCTGTGCACGAGGCAAACTGAACTGCCTTAGCTGATCTGGCTATCAGGGCTGGGCCAAAGATCCTCGATAGCCGTACGCCCTTTGGAGGTCTAGGAATAATTGTACTGCAAGTTTCTCTGAAAAGGTCTAATTGGCTGAAGGCCAAGACCAACCACAATGCACAGCTCCATGTATGCATGGAGGGGTAAAGCACTCGCTCAATCAGACGATACTGTTGGCTCATGCCGATGTTGGCCAATGGGGCTGTGTGTGGTGTCTGCATTGCCCTCTTTTGGGCAACCGCCCTGCCAGACCATGATTATGCATTTGCGCACAGTCTTGGGTTTACTTCCTAATATAGTTATGGCCAGTTTTGGTGCTATTTCCAAATTTGGTAACTAATCAACTTTCGAGAAACTTCCTGTTTTGTATTCCATACACTGTGCCTGCATGCATGAGACTTCGTCTCATGGTCCCCGTCATTGGCCATTGCTTTTTTGGGGGCAGTGCCAGGGTGGGGAGAAGTGACTGAACTAGCCAATCTCAGGGTTTCGGGCGCGGCACCGGCGCGAAGTCATCCCCAATGTGGCTTTCCCCGCACCAACCAATTGTCTCTTCGGCACGGGAATCCACAGTAAGACAGCGACCGTTCCAAACTCAGCTTTGGATCCATCTTATTCTTTGCTATTTCCAGGAGGCTCGAGGCATAAACTACCACCTGTCAGTTAGCATTGTAAATATCTGAATCACGGAGGAGTAGCTACATATTTGGAATAACCAAAAACATACTAACTCAACGGGGTCGGAGAATATCTTCCTGTCTTTCTTCCCAGGAATATTTTAAGGTACTCTCTTGGTTCCGCCATAACCGTTGCATTTGGTGCATATAGATGTACCAACCATTCCCACATCATTGCATTCAGTGCAAGGCATGTTTTCTTTTCCGACGTGTTGATTCAAAAGCAGAGGGTAAAATGGCGATATTCTTGTACGGGGAAGGGCGAAACAGGGGATGTTGTAGTTATCGTAGAAAAGTCAAGATTAAAGAAAGAAAGAGGATATTTATAGCCCGCCAGTTCCGATACCCAAACTCGTTGGGTGGCAAACCCCGACAGTGGCCAGAGCTCCCGATGACCCTCCCAACTAGGCTTGTACACATTTCGGCTCTCCACATACCCAACGCGATGCCGAATCCTCGTTTTGTTGCAGTCTATCCAAGCCAGAGAAAGAAGCAAAGGGTGAAAACACCGCAATGCCAGACTTGTTTCAATTCATTCGGAACACAACAAGAACTCCGCGACCATATCGCAGACTATCAGGCCAGTAAAGTCGTGACTCTCCAATTTATCCGCTGACTCGCCAGTTTAGTTGGAATTCCAGCTCTTGACCGCACGGCTACTTGAAGTCCAAGCACACTTGCCTCACAAACACCAAAATCCCGGAATCGACGGTCTACAGATGGATAATAACATAGCGGATTCGATTGCCAGTGACTGGGACACCGAGCAGGAAAATGACGACAGCAGTAACCTCGCAAACGATGGATACGACAACGATGACAGTGATGATGGCAATTTGAGCGATCAAGATGACGATCTCACCTCAACAAAATGCCCTCACTCAAGATGCCGTCACAAAGGGCGCTTCCTGAACCGAGCGGGCCTTGAGCGCCATTTCGAGTCACGTACGCGACTTTGACGGATCTACCATATTTTGATGCTAATGGTACATTCCAGATGTTCATTGCCACGAAATATGCATCTACTGTCGTCAGTTACTTCAACAAAGACGACAATACATACGACACACATGCCGCACGAGGCAAAAGGCCGACGACGAAGCGAGAGAGTTCTACAGAAAAGAGCGGTGTGCTCAACTAAAGAGGATATCTATCGATAAACTAAACTTGATGCTTGCAAGTGCAAAGCACCGAAGTAGACGGCCCAATAAACGAGGCACTGAATGCTGTGATGAACAAACAACCAGCCCTCGTAAACTGCGGAAGGGAAATGCAACGCTTTTGAGAGAGAACATCGTGGACAGTGAAGGGTTTGATGGTATCTACCCTCTGTTTTCCATCGAATAAATATTAACACCGTCAGTAGGACGTTTCAATGCAGGAGAGGCTCTGCAAGTACCGTTCATCGCGCCACGTAACCTGCATCCGCTCACGTATCCATCAAACCTATCCAACGAGGACTTCCCGTCCAAAAACCCCTCTGTTGAGCATATGCAACGATCCTACGACACCCTCGTACCCCAGCCGTACGCGCCAATATTTGATGATATCACCATCACACCATGCTATGATTTGGTACAAGAGTCATATGCATTTTCATCAACGCTGCAGAATGCGACTTTTCTAACAGACTCCCATCATGATCAGAGCGCTTTGCCAACTTCTGAGGCAAGAATGAGTTAATCAGGAGGCGTGCTGACGCCAATCGTAACAGAATCATGTTTGCCATCGAAGTAGGTCACGTTCATGCCAAAATTGGGTCCTTCCATGTTGCTGACTACTGTTTGGAGGGACTTGGGAAGCTTCATCGGAGCCCACCATTTTTTCAACACATCTTCTGAGGCGACTCCAAATGTAATAGCACTTCCTTCCAATACTTCGACAAAAAGGCGGGTATCACGGATAGAACTATTTAGGAAGATCAGATATATGACACTGAGATAACTCAAAACTCCACTTACAACCCCCCATCCTCAAATATAACGTGAACAGGCTCAAGGCCGAGCCTTGTGAGTGCCACACGAGGAGCTCTCCACAAATTATTGTCACCCTTCATGGTAGTGACCTGCTGAATGTGTGAACCTTTCCAAAATGTAACCTTCGAACCCTTCTTCCAAAATTGTATCAGGAGAGACTCGGTCTTTGAGGATAGATCGCTCTGTCGAAAGGCATAATCGCCGGGCATGGCACCGAAACTTCGATAAAGCCCCAGTCCAAACCACTGGAAGCAATGATCAAGGACCTGTCGCTTGCGCTTTCCAAAAATCAGCCTTTTTATAAAGGAGAATCGGTTGTATGAGAAATACCGGGTCGTCAAGGACATTGGTTTTATAGAACTGCAACCCTGCCTCTGATGCGAAAGGTGTGCAGTTTGTTTCCATCTCTTCGATTTGTTGTCCTGTCTCCGCATCTTTCTCGAATACGTATCCATCTTTGACGAATTCACCCTTGAAAGTTAAATTCGACGTCGAACCGATTGCAGCCATCGACATGAAATGCGAAAACCTGTGTTTGACTGATAGGTTCTATCGCGAGAGGGGTTGAGTGTCAGGAGGTGTGGGGGCCGGGAAATATAACTTCCGTTCCGAAAAGCATGTTACGGTACTGGAGTCCAGTCAAATGACCTCCATTCGAACGCTTTTAACACTATTCCTCATTTGGAGCAAGCACGAATTAGTTGACTTTCCTTATCAAGCCAAAGCACAGATCTGAACCGTAACTGAGTTGGGTATGGACCACGAATCTGTGTTTATCCTTACGCTATGTTGTGCTGCATGCTTGATTTGATCCCTGCCGGGGAGAGTAGTCGACTCCATGGCGTGATGTGATTGGCTTATCGACATCCATAACTTGTGCCCAGATTGCATACATACCCATATTTCGTGGTATTCAACTTGCAAGCGCTATAGCCTCTGTACCTTACCCAAGCAGAATACGAAAGAAAATCTGCTCCAAAATAGGTGAGGATTTTCCCTCCCATGCATATTAGTAGGTCTAGGCCTGTGGATGCAAACTGTTAGAGCTAATCGGACGGATCTTTTCATTCGAGCGCAAATATCACCCAGAGCATGCACTTCGGCTTTCGTACCTTTGTTCTAAGAACGAGAGATCGATGGCTGAAGTAGGGCGATAATGATTTAAAAGTTGCAGGGGCTGGCGACGAAGTTATAAATGGGTGCAACCTCTCTCGTTCTTGGAATTCTTTGATTGTGTTGACATCAGTGTTTGACCCTGTTGATTTATCCTTTCTTCTCCATCTTACCAACAAATTCCATCGGCTGGATCAAACAACATGGCATCTATTCAGAGTAGCCCAAATCTGCCTTTCCCAGAGCACAACATTGCATTGAAAGAGACCTCCACCCACCACCAAGGCCTGACGCCGCCCGATAGCCCAACGAAGGGGTCGGCTTCAGCTCAAGCTACCGTGAAGGATCTGAAGCATCTCTTTGGAGTGTTTCTTGAAAATGTGCTCGATCTTACCAACCAAGAACCTCCAAACACTCCTGTCACTCAGGACCAGTCCCCACCAGGCACCGACGCGGTTCGGCAGGTGCTGGAATGTGCTTCAGCTGAACTTTCCATGGCAAATAAGCCTGCTCAGTCTTCTTCTGTAAGCAATGAACAGGGGAGCGTTCCTGGGCCAGATGGATTTGGTCTCAAACATCCCATCTGTACAACACCGGATGATTTCAAATCGTTCGAAAAATGGGCCTTGACACCCCAATTCAAGACGGTCGTTGAAACGTATGAGACACAAGCCAACCCCCTTTTCTCTTTTCTTTATAAAATGGCTTACACGGATCTAGCTGGGACAAAGAAGCATGTAAATACAAGATCGCCGAACCGATTGAGACCAGCGGTGGTCTGGACGACGATGCTGAATATGCATTCGTTGTCCGTGAACGTGTTGGTACGTAACGTCTTGCCTGGAAACCGAGACCAGACTAATGGTATTATTAGAACGAAATTCTGAGGAGGTGACGCCGTACATTGACATCAAATCGGAAGGCCTGCGCGACATCCTGCGTGAGGTGCTGCATGATGTCAAGGCCATTAGCCTGATGGAAGACAAGCCATCGGTAATTGAGACAGAGTATTATCTCCACGAAGATCGCTGACATTGGTTAGATCGAGCAAAATATTCTTTTTCATTTTCTCCTAGAGCTCGAGAAATATGCCGAAAATATGAACAACTCAGAGGGTGAATCCCCACGTCAGCACCTCCGCTTGCTCATCGACCACCTCAAGCAAGCATATTCAGCCATCTCGCAGCGTCTCGAATCAATGCTGCAGTACGGTCATATTACATATGACCTTCTTTGGGCGCTTTTCAAGCCTGGTTGCCATGTTTATACCACATGCATTGGCACAAAGGAGCCGCGATGTGTCAGATTCGACGCGGGGGAAGAGATGACACAAAATGACGAGACGTGGTGGAATCTCGAATGCCGATTCTTTGATTATGACGGAGTCAAGTTCGGCGAGGCCGGAATGTTTCTGCGTCTGGCAAAGTTCCGGGGGTCAAAGCCGATCGAGAGTCTTGAGGCCTTCCCTCTCCGCTACCATCCAAGGCACGGGCAAGTCCGGAAAGACTTGGTCGAAAGAGGCGAAAAGTTTCGCGATTTGGCCGGCTCACACATTCGGCACTGTAGAGGCAGCGCGTTCTTTATGAACAAGGGGAAGGCTATCAAAGTCAACGTCAACAGTCGAGTGGGAGTGGACGCCGCATTTTTTCATGAAATGCAGCCAAACTACTCCCGACCTTCACTCCGCGACCTAGGGGTTAAGGAAAAGGATGGAATTGCAGTTATTAACATAGGTGCGATGCTCAAGGAGGATCGCGAGCGGGAGAAGGAGAGAATGCAAGGAGACGGAGTGGATGCACAAAAACTGAGCGAGACCGATTTCTTGGTCGCCTGCCCAACAGTATGCTGTTTCAGCTTCAAGGGGAAGATTTTCTGTATGTAAGTCTACTGACAATGTTTGGCGTCCGACTAATGTGATTTCAGTGGAGTGCGCAGTCAGTGCTCTTGAAGACGTGGATTGGTCACCTGAGTCGTTCGACTGCTTGAAGATCCCTTTAGAGACCAAGACCATCCTCTTGTCATTGGCAAAAACCCGCCTAGGGATGATACCGATGGTACCGTTCGACGACGTAGTTGACGGAAAGGGCCAAGGATTCAACATTCTTCTGAAGTATGTCGGCGAAGCGCCTATACTATCAAGACTGCCAACTAACTCGTGCTAGTGGCCCACCGGGAGTCGGAAAGACTTTCACGGTTGAGGCAACCTCGGAGTATTTCAAGCTCCCCCTCTATTCCGTATGAACTATCCAGCTCGGCTGATTTTGGCGTCACTGATTTTTTCAGATATCCGCAGGCGAACTTGTTGTAGACCACGGAGATTCCAACGCGCTCGAGCAGCAACTTGAAACAGTATTTAAGATCGCGAAACATTTTGATGCCGTCCTTCTCTTGGATGAGGCAGACGCTTTCATGGAGCAGCGTACCTCATACCACGATACCCACAATCGCCTTGTGACCATTTTCCTCCGAAAGCTGGAATATTATCAAGGAATTCTTTTCTTGACGTCAAATCGGGGTATCCAGTTTGATGACGCAATTCTAAGCCGGATCCATTTGACCATCGAGTATGAAAATTTGACGAGAGAGTTTCGCAGAGATCTTTGGACAATCTTTTTGTCCAAGGCATGTACGACGCAAGGACCTGCACTCGTTGAGGAGTACGAGCTCCGACGATTGGAGACTTTAACTCTAAATGGACGAGAGGTGGGGTTCCAGAGAGCTGCTGTGCACTTCTCACTTGTTGACTAACATGATCTAGATCAAGAACATCGCAGCAATCGCACATGCTCTCGCTGAGGCTGACGTCAATCAGGTGACCTACAAATACTTGGAGTTAGCAGCCGATTCTAATAAGAAGTTTTCAAGGGAGTTTGGCAAAAAGAGACCTGTTGATGGAATGTATATCTAGTACCTACCTGGAAAAGACCCGTGGATTATCTCGTTCCTCAAGGTTGTCGAGCAGTCGGTCTCTCATTGCAATATGTTCGATTAGTACTGTACACGACAGTCCAATATATCGTTACTGAAGCTTCATAGTGGAATCAACGTTTTAATATGATTCATCACCTCACACAAAAGTCAAGTACGAGAGCCAGAATTGGACGATCAGTTTGTCATTGTCAACGCATATAGAAGCGGGGTTACTCTTGAGGCAATGTAGGTGAAGTGAAAAAGCGGGCATCAAGGATCGATAATAGGTCGAAGTTCTGGTTTATTCACGAGGATGCGGACTAGAAGTGCTTCATGCTTCATTATCATGCATACTTGAATTGCTAATCAAAAAAACTAAGCACATTGCTTCGCGTTACACAAAGACGTTTTGGATCACCCATCTCTGGTTGACATAGTTGTCGTTGTACCGCTCGTGATCGCTGCAAAGTCGGTCGACATTTCAATATATACCAGTGAAAGTCGATGATCAATGCCCGGCCAAGTTCTTTATTACAAAGAAAATTGTCACGCCGAAAATCTTCGTGAGTGATTCCTTTGTTGATTTGCGAATCTCCTGGTGGAGCCAAGGCGTCAAGTCCATCAATGCTGTACTTCCCCCACCCTCCCACCCGGCCAGCCCATCATGAGCATATGACGAATCTCTCCAGCTCCATAAAGAAAATATATTTCGGCCAAGTCGATCGTGCCCAGGAAAACAGGCACAGGAGACCCTTGGGTTTTCCGTTTGCAGCAGTTGTCTCTTTGCTCGTGGTCTTTGGAGCTGGTCAAAATTCGATTTTCTAGAGGGGTAAAAGTCGTTGATTGTTGCCCGTTCGAGCTTTTCATTCCAAAGGACCTTCATATCTCGAAAGACTTTGTAAATGATTCCCAAGGCCCCTTGATTTCCTGATTCGATCTGTGAATTTCCAAGCGAAACCAAGGCGCCAGCTCCATCGACACTGTACTTTCTTCCCTATGGACATCACGAACAAATGATGTAATCTGAAGGTGCAGATGTAAATGACCATGAGCCTAGGGGCCGTCATGTGCATACAGCAGTTGAGCTGGATAGGAGCCTTTGTCTGCTTTTCTCTTCTCCGACGCGATGACCATGCCGCGTGTTGCCAGAGGTTGGTTCAAGTGCCCGAGGGCGCTTCAACCATTTCATGTCCTCCAAGTCAATGACAATCAAACGACCGCCCATGTCATCCCACAACATATTACGCCACTCACTGTCGCCATGGACCACCCCGTGTGAGCGGAGCACAGCCAGGGCCTTCTCGCACTCCTTGTGGAAGAAACTCGAGTTGTCATCGTTGATGACGTGCTGAAGCCTGCTTCCTGACCAGCTTAGGATCATCATCTGCTCCATTGGTTCGCCGTGGTACCAATATGAGACTCGTGGCGTAAATGTCCCAAGACAGACGGGGATGTGCTTTCCCTGCAGGCTCCTGAGATAACCGTAATTGTCTGCCTCTGCTTGAATGAGATGCTGCTTGTCCGCCGTGGTAGCCTTGATTATCACAGTGTATCCGTGTAATAGAAGAGTGGCTTTGATGAGGTAACCGGTCCGACCACAGACGTGAAGTTGTTCAAACCCATGGTTTCGGTTTCGGGCAAGTTGACGGTGAAGCCGGCGTGTGAACTCCTGTGGTCCCATGGTGTGTCTCTGGCTACCGTGGAGTTTCCAGTTGGGGGCATTCTTTATCCAGAGGGTCTCGGCTGACCATGCCGCGGATGCAGGCAATTGTGCAGTAGGGTCGTGTAGATTGCCCGTCTATTCGAGAGGTCTGTTTGTTGTCCCGATCGGCTCGTGTGCTTTCGCTTTCCTTAGTCGACTGGCGGTTGTTGCCTCGGCCGCGGCTCGACCTGCTGCGAGCCGCTGCTGCGATGGATGGCGAATGCGATTCTTCATCACTGCCGCTGCCTTCGGTCGACGAATGCTTCGGAGTAGATCGCAGTCAATACAGCAGGGCGCTATTGTCTGCCTTGGGAGAACGAACCGTCACGGGGATGTTTACTGGCTTACTTATCTGGTGCCTCAGGCATAAACACCCTTTGCGGTTTGTGCTGGTTTTCAGTCACTGATTCCAAAATGCTCGGTATACGTTGACAAAGTCGTTTCGGGCTACCTAGACTGGCCTCATCAGTGGAACACCAGCTGAAATATACCCGCATACCTTATCCTTATTCACGGGGTATAAGTCCTGGTATTTCCACAACGCCAACCACGCGCGGTCTAAAGCGTATTTTGAACAGAGATTTGTCTTATCTGGAAGGCAAGCCCATCTTCAGCTTTCTCACGATCTGTCAACCTCAAAGATAATCGAGCATGTTTCAACGTTTTCCCGGTTCATTGATGACCTCATTTCACCGTTGACTACCGTTCACGCATGCTTGATTGAAACCACAGGCAGGTTTCTAAGGTCCAACGGGTTGCATACCTCATCTTTGGACATGCTGACTTCGGCATTGTGTCTGAACTCAACTCAACAGTTGGCACGCTAATATAAATGCGGAGCCACGGTGGCCCTTCATGGTTCACATGCCGGGTATTCAACGTTGAATGTCGAGTTTGCCGGATATGACCTAACTAGTCAACCGTAAAGATCTTCAACATCACCGTTTGGTCATTCGTAAAGGTCTGGTAAGTCATGGATGCAAACCAGTTTACTGTCACATTTTTGATATATCAAGTTTAAACTTTCCCTCATGAAATTATTAATGAGGATGTCACTGTCTTTGCTCACCGCAATCAATGATTTCAGGGAGGATGTCTTAGAGGAAAGCTCGGGCGCCGTATAAATAACAGGCGTACGACCCAGAGACACAAAAAGCCAATAATTCATTCTGCTGCAGTGCTCCAAATGCGTACCTAACGATGAGTAATCACACCGATGAGGATCCCATGGATCAAGATAGTTGTACAAGCACGAGCGACGAAGCGAATCTGCAGCTGGATCGTGAATTACAACAAAGCGAAGGAGCCACTCACACAGCGACTGAGCCGTCACGGCAAACTATCCCAGTTGGGATTTCACCTGCCTATGTGAAAGGCTGGGACTCTGCAGATGCATTTCGCGAGCTGTACCAAAATTGGTATGTGACATTCTCTTCTATTGGATAAACACTGAGACAGAATAGGAAAGATGCTATTCTAGGAAGATTTCAGCTAAACCGATTGGATTTCAAGCCATTCTATGAAGACAAGAAAGACTATTTCTCCATCACAGTCCCGACTACCTCGAATGACAACGGCAATCGGCGAGCTCTGGGGTACATAAAATATGAGAAAAAGACCGGTCGAGTCACCTTGACCAATTCCTGCATGTAACTTCCCGTGGAGTCTCTCGTGATGGGGTTCACATCCAAGGACGAGCAAGACCAGCTGGCAGGCTCCCACGGTGACGGGCTCAAGCTGGCTGCGTTAATAATGAGTCGAGACGGATATAAAATGAGCGTGGCTGCAAGCCACTGTAGGTGGAGTTTTGGTCTGCATGGGACGTCCCAGTCTCTCCGTTGTGTCATCACTCCTTCCCGAAAGATGAGTCCAGCCATTCAACGAGACCCAGCTGATGATATGGCAAAGTTGCGGTTCCAGGATGAAAGAGACATCACGGTAATGATTGGGGCTGGACGTGCCAATCAAAATCGACCGGTATCGTCTGAAACATTCTTCGGGTGGCTGCGAGTCACTCTCGATATTCGCGGGCTCTCCTATCCCCCCTCGATTGTAGAAACGCCCCGAGGAGACTTGCTTCTTGATTCGCAGTTCCACGGAAAGCTTTTCCTTCATGGGATCCTGCTACCAATGACTACTTCAGGGGTCAAGCACTACAAGTTTGGTTACAACTTTGCTCTGAGTAAGTTCAGCCGTGATCGACAAGGAATGGTCGCCAAGTGTGAGGTGGCAGATCAGGTGCGGCAAATATGGCAGTGTGCCCTGCACATGCACGAGCATACTTTACTTCCAATTTATGTCAATCTCCTTCAGAACTTTCCCCAGGTGGGCGATATTGAACAAGCCGATAAACTTCTGGAACCGTCTACCACGGCCCGTATCTGGAAATACTTGCTTCATGTGACGAGAAGAAAGCGATTCTTTTATAGCGAGACATCAAGCATCCAAGTCAGTTCACGGTGAAATGGTCAAGCTGGATATGCAATATACTAACCTCGAACAGAGTGTGGGCATGATACGAGAAACCTCCGGGAAGAGGCCAACAAGAGTTCCAGAGGCCCTCTGGAACCTGCTGCGCTCAGGTTCACCGATCCGGACCGTCAAGGAGGAGCAGATAGAGCTTTTCAAGGATGCTGAGATTTGTGCTTCGCCCGAATCTGCCTTTGCAAAAACAACAGACTGGGCTTTGAAGGTTTGCCTGGCACTTTTGAAGACGACCAAACATATCAAAGTAGTCTATGTCAAAGGACTGACAGGGAAGCTTGATGTGTTATACGACGCCGGACACGGTACGCTGAAAATTCATCATCGATGGTTGGACTTTGATGCGACGCACCAGGAAGCATCGTGTCGGAAATGGTTTCCTGCTGCCATAACCGAAAAGAATGCGCCGTTTTTCTGCAGTCACGTCGTAGAGGAGCTCTTGTACCTGTCCATTTCTTCGATCTTCAAAGCATCCTCGACGCTGCGTATGACTGAGATGAAATACATGCGTCAGATCAGACGCCTGCTTCGAGTTCTGCCGCATAGCATCAAACTCAGACCCCAATCCGGAGGCCTTCTGGTCACCTGGGAAGACAATGAGGCAGAGTCGTTTCGAAAACTTGGTGGAGGTGGGCCAGAGTACCGAGTCGTCCTCCATGCAGAAGAGTGTTTCGTCGCCAGATCGGAGCTTCTCCACTCGGACGCAGGTAAGTTCCCCAGTTTACCACCCCTGCGCGTGAAGGAAATCGAAAGCTGAAGTGCCAGACAGTACCGAGTGGGATGAAATCCGCGGCATGTGGGTGTCGTCAGCAATTTGTTGTCCAGGCGCGCCGATGGTGTGTCTTTGCCGCTTTGGATCATTCCACAAGGTATTATGCGATGATCTCTCTCAATGAACGGCTGGCGATCTATGGCCTTCCATCTGAGCTGGTGTCACCTCGTGGCACAAGCATGGGTGGGCCAGACCACATAGCGTGCAATCTGGATCGATCTCCTTTCGTTGGTCGCCAACACGAAGACAGGAATTTGGAGTTGCAGCCCAACCTAGTCCCACTTCGAGTTGATCCAGCTCCATATCAGGGAACAAGCAAACGGCAAAGAGTCTCGAAGTTTCAAAGGGATGAATGAATCCGTACTCGAAATTAATTGGAACACAACTCTGGGATACCAGCAGATGCTTCATTGAGCTTGGGGCCAAAGTATGAGGTCCAAGAGCTCGCACATAAGACGCAACGGCGGGACACGTCGAGGTCGGGAATAACAGGCAAAGGCTTCTATCCAGTTCGACCGCTGTCTACACATGACGGCCCTCACTTTCCAGATCCAATGCGTTAGTTGACTGGTTGCGCTGAACTGCTGTTCCAGCTAAGCCCTACATAATATAATAGAGTCGAGAAAACACGTTTCATATTCTACATATGCGAGTTCACTAACAATTGGTTGATTTGTTGGTTGGGATTATCCTCCCCTATACCCAATCATTGGAGAGGTATGAACGCTACCGTGGCTGTATATCACCGTGTGCATATAAGGTAGTGTTATCAACATAGGATGAGATATTATGTCGAAATTGTCTGCTATTATTTCGATGTGAGTCCATATCCATCCCAACGTACCCCTGGTTCCACAGGCCAATGCCAGCCCAATGTATTAATCTGTTCGGCATGAGCTTTTTCTATCCCTCAATATAGGAAGCACGTACTGCGGCTACGGATATTGCGGAGACGAAAACAAGAACCAACAATCGTGCCATTTCACGCCAGGGTTTCAAATGATTGTCCCGAAGGCTTGTAGTATGTGGGCTTTGAGGGTAATATTCTGGCTGTGCGGCGGTTTGAATGGGGTTTTCCGATTCCAAAAAGGGAATTTCTCCGGTGCTCGCGTTCCCGTCGCAAACTGAATATTTCTCTGTCTATATCCTTAATGATTCTGCGAGATCGGTCCATCGAAGCGACCAAAATGGCTCCTTCGCGCATCCACCGCGCCAAGCGAGCTTCCTCGGCCTCTCGCCGTCGATATTTGGTCTCAATCCTGTCGCAAAATCCGCACTTTGTACTCTTTGTTTCAGACTTGTTGACTAGTTTAATGCCGCATGTCTCACCGGTACGATACTCATAGGTGCACTGGTGAGCAAAGCTAGTCCAGCTCCAGTCTCCGCATGAGTATCGTTTCTGATTGTAGAAACACATGTCTAACAGATTTGCTAGGGCCTCTTCGGTCGTAAGGTCCGGTCAAAAGGCACTTGCTCTTCGATGTTCGGAAAGATCTTCTCCAATCTCAGAAATGGGTATGCAAATTGTTTTATCTGATCAATTCTCAGCTAACGCACTTCATGAAGTAGGATTGAATCGGAAGGGGAATGTCCTTGGAGTGGGATAGACTACCTGGGTTTCCAATTTTATATCGCTCATAACAACGCAAGTCAATTATAGGAATGCTGATGGTCCAAAAGGAGACGCCAGCAATCAATTTTGTTTTGACCAGGAATCCCTTCTCTGCTCAATCCATTTAACCTGCCCCTATGCAGTACACAAATGCGCAAGATCACATCCTTAGACAATCACTAGAACCTATTTAACATTGCAGCAAGTGATGTAGGTCTCGAAGAATCATATACATCTCTAGGGTGCCAAGATAATTCCAGTCAGTCTCTGGGCACGCGGGCCGTTGACGGTTTAGCGTATCGGGGATATCAGAATTTGTCCCGGCTACGCACTAACGACCAGTTATCTTTCTCATGGTACAACCAACCAATGAAAACCTCAAAAATTCGCTTTTACTTCATGCCGGTACAGCGTATCGGGTAGCGCGGATAGTAGGAGCTTCTCAATGCCTTTGGCTAGTTTCCACAAATTCTGAAATTGTTGTACGAATATGGCCGTGCTGCGGCAGATCCCGACCGTGTCGATCACCGTCAGCGCCTAAGATTGGCCAAGCCTCTCTAGCTTTGGCCTCCACGTTGGAACCATGGATCGTCGATCATACTACGGAAATTTGAAAGTAAAGAGCTCCCTGCCCCTTGCCTTGAGCAGCTCCCTATGCTCGTAGAAAGTATTTCCAAAATGGCTCACATTCTTGGTTTCCCACCTAGATACTTTTGAGTAGTCAAGCTACTCGGCCATACCCCTGGCATGCTTCCATCTGCGCGGTGTTGCCTTTAACGTCCCCAGCTCAATGAAGGCAAATGGGGTCGAAAACAGAGCCACTGAATCTCAGGGGTAAACATCAAGGGGGTTCCACCGTACACGGACCAAGGCCTGGCCAATCTGGATCAACGTCAATACCCATGCCCTATCGTCATTCGCACTTTTGTTAGTCTTGACTCCTTCGGGTCTCTGAGGCAAAGAAGATTGCCGATACTTCCGATGCGGATAGCCGCGTCACATTTCCCGAGCCGGAAGTCTCGCATCAAACTAGCTTCAATGTGCTTGCATTAGTGGAAGAGCTAACCAAGCCTCTTGCGCGCTAATCAAATCCATCACCAACGGCGCTCCCTACAACCAACCAATACCACATATCATTGGCTTTGCTCCCTCGCAACCCGCAAGCGAACGGTCGTTCCAACCCAGTCTAGGACAAATTAAGATGACAATGAAGATTTGCCCTCGTCTCCACGAGGTCAATCTGGACATCTGTTCAACAATATTTATCGGGCGTCTTGAACCTTTTGATGCCAAACGTAGGATTCTGACCGTCGAAACATGGAAGAAAGCCCCGACGCCCCGGAACCTCCTCGATCGGTTCAAGACCAGCGTGGTTCCGAATTGGACTTGTTTGTCCGTCATAAGCCCGGTCAATTGCAAAAAATTCCTGATTTACGCGCCAAAATCGAGTCAATTCTTGCGTCCTTGGACTCATACTCAACCGCTATCGATGAAGGAAAGGGTATCGCGAGGCACCTGAACGTACCCCTACTCGGCAGCAGATTGGAAGACATCATTGGCGGCTCCTTCAGCAGCCCTTGCCCGCGTATCGTTGAGACAAATGGTCCGATGAATGACTATGGAGTTACTCCGGGCTGGGTAGATCTCATTCGGGACGCAAGACCTGGCCAGTTCGAACCCCATGGCAATGAGATGTTTCATTACCGTACGCAAGGCCTGACAATAGAAATGAACAAACATGACCGGGAAGCAGTTTGCTCTCCTGTTTTTCGGAAGATATTCTGCTCGGGGCTCCTCCCTGAGGATCTGAAAGCAGAGCAGGAGACTATTACTGCCCTGCTAGGCGACATGTCTGAGCTGGGTAAAGATATGATACAAGGTGAGATGCCACAGCTATCGTGAAAAATTATGTACCAAGCGGCTAAATCCCATTAGCATTTGCGAAGATCCAACACGTCGTGAAACAACTCAAAGATTATAGCAGCAATCTCTCGGCTTCGACCGGAATCGCACCGTCCTCCCCTGAGCCTGTTAGCCAGGGGCCGATCATGTCTTCACGGCTTTCATCTCTCGGATCTTCAGTTGGGAATTCGGGGGGTGAAGAGAATTGCACCTTGCCAATTGATGGACCACAAACTCCCCCACCTGATACCCGACTAGTGCAAACTCAGCAAATCACGCCGCACCGGGCCCCTGCTGCATCTGAAAGAGTAACCATTTGCACAAAGACTGAGGGGGAAGGCGTGCTTCATTCACAGCCTCGCCACCGCTGGACCAGGGCAGAAAAAACAGCATATGCGGACTTTATGCGTGGCCGATGTCATATGTCCTGGCCAAGGATAGCAGACGATTACTGGAAGACCACGGGGAATCGGGTTAGTGTCAATTCTCTAAGGCAGCAGGCTAAGCGAATGGGGATCCAAGTAGAGTGTGGAAAGCCGGAAAGACCTTCGAAATCGAGCCGGTCGAGCCGATCGAGCCCCTTGGTGCTGAAGGTCAACTTCCCTCCGCACTCAGGGAAGTCGGCCAAGAATGATCAACAACCAAATTCCATCGGAGTTACGCAAGATGGACACCATGGGGTGGGCGACAGACTAGAAGCCTCCAAAACGCATGGGCATAACACTGAGCCCAAATACTCCACGCCGAATTCACCTTACTCACCGCAAGATATACCCATGTCCAACGATAAGCGCAACCTTCAAACTCAAGGCTCCGGCCAAGATTCTGCCGGCCAGCTGAACTGGATATTAAACTGACTTTATGAATCCAAATTTTGTGCGTGATGTCCACTTGGCTATCTTTGTGTAATATAAGTTGAATTCGTCCCGTCAACATTGGAATAGCTTCCATCCCCTTCAAAATATAGTTCAAATAGTCCAATAAGTTTACCATTTGCTCCATAGGTATTATATGTAAGCTGCTGCTCCGGATAAAATCCCTGTCCGAAGGGAAATTGAAGGTCCCGAGAGTCCGACGTAAGCTCCTAGAGGTCAACTACAGGTCGATAGGAACTCGTGCCACGATCCTGGGAACCCGTCGCACGATACAGTACGTACAAAAGCAATGTATTGACTCATGCCAATTTACTTTGTTCTTTTTACGCATGAATGGAAGATAGTTCCCAATCGCCATCCGGCTTGCGTCACATGGTTCCGTTCTGATGTCGTCTAAGACCTAGGCTGTCATCATCTTGTCATCCAGCAGTTCGATACTTCAGCAGTGGATATTCAAGAGGCTCACCTGTACATGTGTTCGGTATTGCTGTCTGAAACGCAAGACCGAGGAGATACTGCTGGTTATAGCAACGAAAATATCCATCAAAATATTCCGATATAATTCTGACTCCCTGATGGCTGGCATATCTCGTGTCTCCATATCAAGTCTCTTGATGGAAACCCTGTCGTAATCAATCCCACATAACAGATGCTGCAAAAGCTTCACAAGAGCTTCTCTTCATTAACTTAAAACCATCTCACTCGATTGCAGATACATACCAGATTTAGGTAGATTGAAGGGTCTTCTATATTGGATTTCTGGCGGCCACCAGTACGGCAATTCACCACTCAAACTTTCTAGTGGGGCAATCAGATCAATCCATCTTTCCAACAGGCATTGGCAGACAGAATGTGGGAGCATATTGAGCTTTACTCCACAATATTGCAATAGAAAGCCAATGTGGTTCGGGCTTGGGGACTGTGTATGAACGAGAGAGTCCATGCCTGTCTATAGCCTTTGATCATTGGTTCACATGGGGAATTGCTCTTTTAGAAGTAGCTTGATCGCTCGGCGTAATATGTCGGAGGTCCGTGCCCAAAATGACGAGCCTGAGAATTTTTTTAAGTTTCCTAGCAAATAGATCGTCGTTATTTTCGCAACTTCCGATTCAAACGTAGAAGGGGCTGCCAGCAGTTGTGTCCTAATAATATCAAACAGACTAATCCCACACCAAAACCGAGACTCGGACCGAATAAACCAAGGGGCAAAACGACCAGCCGTGGTTAATTCACAATATCCGTTCTTCAAGTGAACCCCGTTGGGGTTAGAGGAGAAAACCCAAAAAATGGATTCTGCTAATTGGAAAAAAAATAAACCTTTGGACACTTCTTGAGCTCTCTAGTTTTCGGTCGAGAGCTTCCCCCAATGTCGTCCACGGCGGATAATGCCAAATTGCCGCACACACCGTGTATGCAAAATATCCGCTCTCCCCATGATGATGATGTATTCATTTGCCCGATGTAGCTCGCTCTATATATATGCTGCTATGCGGGAGTGCTGTCAGGCCTGCCGACAGCTGGAAGGTGGTCGCCAGCCCACTGGGCGACCGTCAGGGAACTCGCCTTGCGAATTTCTGATCAATCGCCCTCGAATCGAAAGACGTAAACTAAACAAAAGAAATGCACGGATGCAAACATGATAAACACAAAGCCAAAATGAACGTCATTTACCCCTGGTCGCGGGTAGGACCAGGGTCCCGCTTCAACACACCATTCCCACGCCCTCTTCTCTCCAACTGTCCAGTCTTGTCGGCTGCCGCTTGCGCGCTCGCTTGGATCAAGGGAGTACAGTGGACCTGGCACTGCACTCCTAATGGGCGCCATCCTTCTTCTTCCGTCACACTGTCTAAGGGATCATTGTCTCCGCTCCTTTGTCGTCCCCTTCCTCGCCCAGAGCCGTAGGGTCGACTGTCTGAAATTGGCCTAGGAGGCCGGTCTTGACCATGAATTCGGCCACAACTGTGCGGGCCTCCGGTCGTGTGAGGAGTTCGTCCCGGTGGAGAGCGACTCCCTGGTATGAGAGAGCGCTTCTCATCCAGTCTCGCTCGTCCTGGTGCAAGGGGCATTCCAGTAGGACGTGTGTTACTGTTTGGCTGCCAAGATCGCAATCACACCGCGCTGTTTCGCGTCGGTTGATACGATTCAGGTAAGCCCCTAGGCCAATTCGCCCAGTTCTAAGCTGCATCAGAATCGATGTCGTCGCTTTGCGCAAGCCCGTCCAGTATTCCAGCGTCTTCTTTGTTGGTGCTTCAATCAAGCGTTTCGTCGGACGACTGGTCGCTTCCTTGGCCCACGTTCTGTCCCACTCCAGCTTCGCTTCTCTGCGAATTCGTCGTCTCGCTGCGGCTGCGAGACATATGTCTCGGTTGAGGGGGTTATGCAGCCCGTCCTGTTCCTGCGCCGCTTCTTTTGCGTGTTGGTCCACGATCTCGTTGCCAATGACTCCTTGGTGCGCAGGAATCCATCTGAGTTCTGTCCGAATGCTTCTGCCCGCAAGTTGTCGGATCAGGTTGAGGCATCCTGCTAGATAGACCTGTCCTGACGGCATCCGCGGTCGTCTCAGCGCCTTCAGCGCTGCTTGGCTGTCTACAAAGATGACTACCCCGTTTTTCGCCTGCTTAGCCCATGGCTCTGTGCTTTCCAGAACCATTTCAAGTGCCATCTCAATGGCTCGAAGCTCTGCCGCATATACGGTGGACGTATTATCATCTCCCATCTGGCTATGAGCATGTTGATCCTCAAGGTCCACGACCGCTGCCGCTCCTATCCTTCCATCAATTCCGCTCCCGTCGGTGTACAGAATCAAGGGTCTTTCTCTTGGGTCTTTCATCAGGATCTGGTTGTGATTGTTCACCGCAGCTTCTCTTTCCTCGATGATTACCTCTGGTGGCGCTTGCCATGGTGCCAGGACGAATGCCTTTCGACTCTCCCATTTCCTCGTCAAAGTATCCGGGGGAGCCATAAGACATCCGCCCGCCTTCCAAGCTTGCGCCTCCATCGGTGACCATCCAGCCCAGTCTCTCTCATCTGCCGGTCGTCGACGTAACATCGTTGGCGGGACAGCGAACTTTGGTCCTGTCCGTAGTCGAAGGGCCGTTTCTTTCACCAGTCGATTCATGTGAACAGAAATAGGCGGTAGGTGAAGCTCTGCATTCAGTGCCTCTGCTGCCGTAGTTCTGAAAGCTCCACTGATGAGACATGCTGCCTGCTTCTGGATTGCCACGAAAGGCCGACTGATTATGCGTGCCTTGGAGTGACTGATGAGCATAGGTTGATACCACGCGGAAACCCCAAAGAGCATCTGCGGGATTATCACCGCTTGGTAGATCTTTCGCATTGCATAGAGTGAGGCTCCCCACGTTGATCCTGCCAGGCTTCGTAGTGCGTGGAGAGAGACACCGGCCTTGGCCACCGCTTTCTCGCGGTGATGGTGGAATTCCAGACCCGGATCCAGCCAATAGCCTAGGTACCGCTCAGCCGTCCTCGTCGCTGTCACCGTGTGTCCTCGTAGAGAAAGCGATGTGTGTTGTGGGTCGACTTCCCTGGTGTTTACAAAATGCACGAGTGCATACTTCTTCGGGTCAAAAACTGATGCATGTTTCTCGGCCCATTGGTCGGCTTTGCGGCATGCCGCTCTGAGTTTCTTGATGGTTTCGCGTTCGCTGTCTCCCTTTGTCATGAAGCAAACATCGTCGACCCACCCGTTGCTTGTCACACCGTTGCTGCAGTTCTCAACGAGGTCTGCGTTGTAGATGAGATATAGAATGGGTGAGATCGGTGATCCTTGAGGGATGCCTGTAGGTGTCAGGATTCGATCGGATGTGCCCTCGGGCATGCGGATCCTTGTGCTTCGATTGGTCAAGAAGGCCCTCACCCAGGGAACGAAATGTCCCAAGCGACGTTTCTTGAGGTTGTGTAGTAGACGTTCATGGGAGACATTGTCGTACGCTCCGGACACGTCCAGCATTAGCAGAGATACCACTGGCTTGCCCTTTCCCCATGCAGTCTTGATTCGGTCGATGATAGTGTGGATAGCATGATCGGTGGATATGCCCTTTCGCCCGCCTAGATGGTTTCGTGGGAGTAAACCGTTGGTTTCTGCTGCGTAGCTGATCCGTCGCGCGACAACTGCCTCCAGAAACTTTCCGAGCGTGTTCAGCAACGCGACGGGTCTGTAGGATTTTGCGAGCTGGTAGTCACTTTTGCCTTGCTTCCGGAGCACCACCGTGATTGAGCGCTGGAAATGTGACGGGTTGTATCCCGTGTTTATGCATGCGTTGAATAACTGGACCATTGTTGCTAGAACCACCGGTATCTCGATAAGCTTGTGCCAGAGAGAGTTTGGTATACCGTCTTCTCCGGGTGCTTTCCCTGCTTTCGCTCCTCGCACCGCCTCCTGTATCTCTTGAGCGGTGACTGCTGGAAACTCGATTTGCTGTGGGTACTGGAATGAGTCCGTGTCGGATAGATCGGCTGGCGGCGGTTTGGGGAAGAAGGCAATCCGGAATGCCTCTGCCTTTTGATCAACTGTTTCTGCGAGAGTTCCAGGCATTTGGGGATCCTGTATTTTCAGCGAAGGGGTGATACCCTTCTCGTAGGCCCCATCTCGGTTTCTTGCCCATTTAGCCAATCGCCACATACCCTGTGGGCCATCTTCAATGACCTGCTGGACTCGGCGCCGGTGCGCCCTTGACAAGGTTCTCTTGACGAGTCGTGTTTTTCTGTTGCGTGCTTCAGAGTAGCACATCCAGTCGTAGGGGTCTTGAGTTCTCGTATGTTTGCGACGGAGGCGACGAACCTCTTTGACCGCAACTTTACACTCGTCGTCAAAGTCGGGGTTCGACCACGCGGATGGTTTTGCCCATGGGGTTGATTCCTCGATTGCTGTTTGGATCGCTCCCATCAGCTCCTGGCATTTGGCTTCTATCCTTTGCGGATTTGCCCGGTATAGGCCTCCTGTCCGTAGACCTCCTTCGATCTTCTGGATGAGTTTCTGATCATCGGTTGCGTTCCAGTTTCTTCTCTTCTGTTGTACTGCAATGGGTGTAATAATATCAAGCACAGTCCTGATCGGGAAATGGTCGGATGCGTGTTCGATGTCATCCGCCCTCTCGCAATTGATAAGCCTGTTGACAAGGTTGGATGTGATGAAGGTGAGGTCAATCACCGACGACTGATCGTTTCGAGACCAGGTAGGTCTGCCTTGTTGGGTCGTCAACTCGAGTCCCCATTCGTTGGCGATTTCTAGGAGTTGCTCGGCCTCCTGATCGAGCCTGGTCCCTGTTCCTCCCCATCTCGGGTGATGCGCGTTCATATCTCCAAGGATGATGTGTTCTCCATGAGGTCGTTTTGACAGCTCATTTCTCAGATGTCTAAGAGTATTGCTGCCCGGCCTATTGTATATGTTGTGTATGAAGAGATCTGTCCAGTCTCTGCCCTGATGAGCCTTTCTAAGTTTCAGTAACTGGTAGTCCTGTGAGACGAGTTGACACGACCAAGTGCTCGGGTCAAGCCTTTTAGACACAAACAGGCATACGCCCGGTTGGGAGAGATCCGAGGCTTGGACTTGATTGTCCTGGCCTTGGGTTGTTCCGTCGGCAGCTGCTTTTGGTGGGTAAATTAGCTGGAATGTTGCCGTCGCTGGTTGGTGTGTTGTGTGTTGCATTTTGTTCTTCCATGGCTCCTGCACCGCGACGACGTCCGCCGCGAGGACATTTCTGTCTCTGAGGAACGTTGCCATCACTGGCCACGATTTGTGTACGTTGTATTGAAGAATCTCAAACGATTTCATTGATGAGTTTGTTCGTCATCGCTTCGTTCGCTGGCCTCGTGCCATACTTCATCATTTGGGTCTTCGATTGTTGGTGCATCCGTCGTAAAAATCGGCGGAGAAGATCCGATTGGTATCGCTTGTCGCTGCTTGTATTTCAGAACCACCAATTTGCGGTATTCGGGGCTCTCCGGGTCCAGTTCGTCCTCGTCATCAGGCTCGGACGTGTTACCGGCCATGTTGACAGAGGTGAACTCGTTAATGAATTGGGTAAGTCGGTGTTCCCGGCTATCCTGCGGAGTGTCAGGTTGAGGGAGATCGGCCGGAGTGGGTTGAATGCTGAGCCATTCATTGTCGTCTGGTTGCTCGTCCATGGTGTCGTCCGGCTCGCCTGTGCGGCGCCTTTTCGAGGCCGCTTGGAGCCTTGTTGACCCTTGGCATGCTAGTGGTATCATTGCTGGTTTCGGATTCTTTGGCCTCGTTCTTGAGCCTTTTGGGCGACCAGGACCTCTTTTGAGCTGAGTAGGCTGAATAGGCTCAGTGTTTTCCTCTGGTGATGTTTCTACTTCTATTGCTGCAGCCTCCACGTCGATTACAGCATCCTGGGGGTTCCGCCGGGGCTCTTCCCCCGTTGCTCCTCTGGAGCGTGTATCGACGCTTCGAGTCCATTCGTGGCCATGGGGTCTGCCCTGGTCGAAGTTGCTTCTTTGCCAGTGCTTGCCGTCACTCGGAGGTGCAGAGGAACGCGGTGATATGCAGGGCAGTTGGCCAGCGCTTGCTTGGCTTCGTTCATCGCTGCAACCTTCACCGGACATTCCCGACTTGTAGGGCGATGCCCTTCACCACAGTTGGCGCACTTGACTGGTATCGCTTGCCCCTTCGTCGACGGACACTCCCAGGTCGGGTGTCCGTTGGCGCAGTGACCGCATTTGAATAAGTTGGAACAGTGTGACTGGATATGCCCCGGCTTTTGGCATTTTCTGCATAGCTTTATCCGCCCCTCACGACAGAATCGTGATGCATTGTGAATTTGCTTCCCCCACACGACTCCCGAGATGATCGCGCGATTAGCCACGACTGGGCTGGTGAACTCGATCAGGATGGAGCCCTCCGCCCTCTCACCCGGACGGGTCATCCATCCTAGATACTGAATCTTAGCGCCTTCGCCCCAGTTGTTCTGCCTGAGCAGCTCAGCCGCAACGTCAGCCATCGTCTCCGGAGTAACCTTCATGGACCTCACGGGAATATGGTACGCCACCACTCCCCATGACGGTTCTTGGACCACCGAGCCTGGTCCAAAGGCTCTCAGCCACGCAGCATGTTTGCGGAGGACCTCTGCCCCTGCCGCACTGTTGGCGATCATTGCCACATCCCCCGACGGCAATTTTCGAGCAGCGACAAAGAAAGCCTGTCCGGCCAGTACCCCTGAATTCTTCTGACGGGCATTTGATACCCTCTGTCGTTCAGCCCTCTCGACCAAATCTTTTGGTGTCAATCCACGGATTTGCTCGCGGTTCATTCCGACCTTGACGATGACCTCTCGGTCCTCGCGAAGTTCCATTTCCGGTACTCCTGGTGACGATGTGCCGCCGCTCCGGGTGATAGGAGCCGCAGCCGTAGCCAAGTCGCGCTGCCATTCTTTGGCCCGGAAGTTGCGCCACGCTGCCGCAGAGTTCGCCGCGGGGGTAGATAGTGCCGTCGATAATGTGCTCGTTGTCTTTTCAATGGTATCCATTCGCTGGTTCAGACGTTCGGTGTCGGCGTTGATCTTGGTCAGCGCCTCAAGCACCTTGGCCATCCCCTGGCCGTCTCCCCGTTGGGCGTTGAGTGCGTACTGGCGGACGGCGCGAATATACCCAGTGACATATCGGTCCTCCGTGCCATTGTTTTCGATGTGGTTGAGCACCCTGCGGGCCCCTTCCGCGATGTCGTCCATGGATCGGGGCGGATCCGCGAGGGCCGTGGTTTTTGGTGTTCCTCTCCTGTCAGGGGGCAAAATCTGTGCGTTCGCACCCGTCCCAACCATCGCTGCCATCTCCCCTATTAAAAGGGTATCAGGTCGTAGCGCTTGAGGTTACGATTACGATGAACTAATTCACGAGGCTGTGAGACCTCTGATTGGCTAGATATTTCAAGAAAACGTTTTTGCCAAGAAAGAGTTGTCCTTGTAAAAGGAACTATTGAAGAAACCGTCGCGGAGAGAGCCCGGCTCTCCCTCGAAACGGCGATGTTCTTTTCGAGGGAGGGGAAGGCCAGGCGATATTTGTGTGCGATGTCCAGCACGGGATATCGTGGGCCCGACGCAAGGGGCTCTCACGCAACAGTCCCGAATAGAACCTATCATCTGAAGTGATACCCCACTTTTCAATAGTATTTTGGACCAAATCAAACCATGGTTTAATAATTCGAGGGTCCTCTGAAAGTGCTCTCTGATAGTCGTATTTTCGAGAGAGTCGACTGGATAAATTCGGGCGTCGTTTGATAAATTGAGTAGGCCAATTGACACCGATAGTGGAGGGGGTATTTTTCTGGGCACTTCGTAGGAGATTGGCCATATCGCGCAACATAGGCATCGTGAGAGCAGCACCTCTGGTATCCATATCAAGTAACCAATTTTCCATTGATTGCTCTTCAATTTCAGTGAAAATATGGCCAGTTGGTCTCTTCTCAGCCAAAGATTCGCGCCCATTGATCCGATACTTCAAAGTTGAGACAGGTAAATCAAATGATCGTGCAGCAGCTGCAGCAGAGGGATATTTACCATCTTTTATAGCCTTTATAGCTAATAAAAGACGGCCCTCCTGCTCTATCAACTTTTTTTTCGATCAGAGCGTTGGGGGGGCATTTTTGTTGTGGTTAAAAAACATGTTTTATTATTGAGGGGGATTTTTTATGGGGTCGCCCGACCGGCAGTGTCGCCCGGGAGACCGTGAATCACGTTACATGTAAACCCTTTTGAACATTACGTCTTTTCAATGGTGCATCCATCAAGCCTTTTCTCAATTACTCTCACAGGCCAAAATTTGTATATGCTAGAGCTAGATTCAGTTGTCGAAACCTGCTATCCTTTAGTACTTTAAGATAGAGATTCCGTAGTTTATTAGGAACAGCAAATGGCTCGTCTTACTACGTCGTATGGGTATATTGACGCAACAATACCAGGCCAAATCAACGCAGGGAAACGTCATTATAATGTGACGAAGATCGGAAATTTCCAGATCTCCGCGGAACTGGAATTGAGGCAGAGCCTTTTTTGTTGTTTCCAATACGACGGTTCTCATGCTTGACCCAATCCAGAATCAGAGCAGTACGAATTGGACCACCCATCCGCTTGGATAACGTTTATGACTGCTAACGGATATTCATTTCAAGACACCCGAGCACAAGTTGTACAGATGGAAAAACCTCGTTCTTAGTAGTTCTCCACTCTAACATGACCCGGCCAATCTCAAACCTACGAGACAATTTCGCTAGTCTCAGGTTTTCTGTCAATGACTGTAACTTGGAGCTTTTGCTTCACAGGCCACCCACTACTGGTGATCCACTGACTATCGCCTGAGTGGACAAAATCAAGTCTTCGCACCAGCTGCGGTAAAAGCTTTGTCATTTGGAATTGAGAAATATTCTTGCCTATGCATGTTCTTGCGCCGGCATCAAACTGGAGCCTCGGTCAGTATGGTTTCTAGTTGGCATGATAGTATGATAGAATATGGACTGGAGCACACTTACTGCCAAAAATTGTTGATTAAAAAAGGATAATTGCTCTTTGCCCACCAGCAAACGCTCTCATCGAACCTCCTGTACATCTTTGCCCCAGATGCTTTCATCGCTATGGATTACTCAAGCATTCAGACCCAGCACGGTCTGCCAACGAGTCTACGATCATCCACTAATTTTGAGGACTGTAGCATGATTTCGGGGGTACTTGTAATTTACACTTTGTGGGAAGTGTCACCAACGATCTGCGCGCCGCCCTCAGTAACAAGTCTGCTTAGAATCTGAACAACCCCCGCATGCAGTCTCGACGCTTCTTTGATGGTAACTTGCAGGTAGGAAAGATTTTGTGCTGGAAAGTGAAGGGGTCAGAAAGGTTTCCTTGCTGAGTTACCGTGTCAATTTCATCACGAAGTTTCTGCAAGCAAGCTGGGGCTGAGGAAATAGATGACAGCATTCATGCTGATACCAGTCGTGTCCGACCCAGCTCCGATATTGGTACCAATCACATCGTTGATTGTGAACTGAGGAAGCTTGCCAATTTTTCTTGATTCGATACGCTCTGCTAGGAAGTCCTTGCGATCACTGGAACTGGCGTTCTGCATTGTGGCACCAATCTCCCGGCGTATAACTCGTTGCGTAAGTTCCCCGTGGCTTTTGATAGGGAAGACGTTCTGAAACCAGAGGTACAATTGATGAACCTCAGCACTAACCCCACCATGGAGCCGTAGCTCATCGAACCGACGTGAACAGCATGTAGAAGTTCGTCCTTGTCGTAACCCGCTTCGATCAGGCCAAAAGATCGTCTTAAGGTGACCACATCTAATGCGTAGAATTGCATTCAGGTAAACTAATCGAATGCACGTCCGTGTTGAGCATGGTCGGCCAACGTCGCCATAAATTCGCTGAGACTTTATCCACAAACCGCTCGTAAGATATCAAAGAGCTCATGGCGTACATATCGGAGATCTTTTTCTTTTCGAGAGCATGTTTTTCGCTACTTTTGCACAGTGCATTACGCTTTATACTTGCTTTCTACAATACTAGGACTGGGGCGTTGACGTTGAACCTAATACATGGGCGTTCAAAAGTATTTACCCACTCCACTTTTTTCGGGTCCCCATGCACAATATATATATCGCTTTCGTAGTATACGAGGACACGGTGAGCGGGGGCCAGAACCGGCTCCCATTGCACCGCCGTCCTGCCGCCCTCGACCGCCTGCCCGTATCCGCCATCCCCTTGCCCCTTCGGGTTTGGTGCCCTCGTCCGCGTCCCGGTTCGGGTTTAGTGCCACCTCTGGCCGCTTTTACCGTCCCCCGACCGGCACCTCCATCTATAAAACACCGCTCGTCCTCCTCGCAGCTTTGTCGACGCACTTTCTCTTCTTTTTCCTTTCTGACTCCCTTTCTCTCGACCCCCACCAACTTCTACGCACTGACTTGCCACCTGATGCATCGCCCCTTTCATTTCCGCCGGAGTTGCTGTTCGATCCACCGTTGAGACTGTTCTGGCCGGCATTGCCTGCAACGCGGGCTAATCCCTGGCGACTTGATGCATTGAGATCATGAAGTCTTCGTACAACATGATGCTAGCATCTCCACCGACGGTTGGTTATACTAGGAAGCTCTCGAGGAACCCTCCTATTCCTCCTATTACGAGGCCATTTCGCCGAGTGCCTCGCTCATTTCGCTGGCATTCTTTCTGCGCGGCCGGAGAACAGTGTCTCGGAAACCCTCGATACACACGCTCCTGATTTGCTGTGGATCGTCCGAGGTTGCATTGTACAGCCCCCAGTCGTCCACCCACGTCCGCTTCGCGACTGCCTAGTGGTAAGACTTTCGTCATAGTCTATTTCTCCTGACCATTGTTACCCAGTCGACGAGACTTCGGACGATCATGCCGTGATACGGACCAATGGCGAAATTGCCGCATTCTCACCTGGTTTCAGTCGATGCCAAGTACTACATCACGAGGCGGACGATAGTACATTCTACAGACGGCTGCCGCCGCGCGCATACATGAGCGATTGGAGATTAGGCTGACGACCACTGTGGAGCCGGGTCACAAAAGGCCCGCCACCGAGGTGTGCGGAAGCTTTTGCTGATGGCCTTCGGCCCCTTGATGTGCAACCGGTGTGGCTCCGCGCCTTGATGCGACGGTGAAACGGCTCGAGTTGAATCCGCGGTGAATTCTCTGCGCTGTCTCACGGGAAATCCTTGTCTATAAAGGAGATGACAATCTCCTTCGAATGGCTCAATCAATCCATCAGTTCCCCCTTCCCTCCCCCCTAACCCTGCTACACACTCGACCTCCAACCCCTCCTTTTCCCTTCCCAAAGCAACACCTTCAGGATTCTTCTAGCCATCTACCTTTTTCAACATGTCAAACACTAACTTTCGCCTGGAATCATTTCGTCCATGGAATCCTTTCCAAGACAAAGCCCAGCCTCTGCGTGATCCCCCCGGTGCTTGTCGCTATCCAAGTCCGGTCTCGATCACTGCGACCCCGCCACCCTCCAATTCAAGCGATAAAGACCCAAAGAGCTACAAACTTCATTCCAACAAACCTGAGCGACATCCGCTTCCTGCCCGCCCGCCGACGGAAGTCTGCTTGGATAGTTTGCATTCGGAGACTCAAACCACTCGACGAGAATGGGAGGGCTCAGGTCGGACACCTTCCACTGTCGATTTACCCCAGTCTTTCGACTCTGAGAACATTCTGCAGCCACAAAACATAGTGTGCGCCGATGACGTCGCTCCTGCGATTCTTGCTGATGGTGTTCGTCGGGACGCTGAGCATCAACCCCTGGGTTTGGAATCGGGCGGCTCGGAGCCTACCGGCTTTGCTGGTCAACAACCTCAAATTTTCGATTCTGAAGACGATGCTCAGAATGGAGAGCTACCAGGTATTGAAATAATTGATCCTGCAATCCTGAACGGCAATGACTCTCAGGATGCTGAGCAGCCGCAAACAGCGGAGGGTATCGCGACAATCCGGGAAGACTGTCCCGCGAGGTCCACTCGCTCTCAGGAGAAAGCATCATCCCTCCAACGCAGACGACAGAACTCAAAGGCGACGGTGGGCGCTGATTGCCAATTGAAAACCACAAAACGTTCTAGTCCTGGGAAAAGGCACATAAACAAGAGCCCCGGCCGGTTCAATAAAAGCTCTGGTCATCGTCAAAGCATTTCCTTCCCTACAGTCCGTGCTCAATTCTCGGCCCTTTCAGTCGAAGACCGACTACAGTTCCTTTCCTGGCTGTTTGAGGGTGCTCTATATCATTGCGCCTCTTCGCCTTCCAGCCCCGATGCCGCTTCTCCGTCAAGACCGGTCCCCGGCCAATTTGATGTGAGCTACGACTGTGATCACACAAGCTTAAACACTGAACGGGCTGAAGTGCAAGGTACATTTTCGAGAAAAGGACAGCCGTGGTCCGGGGAGGAAGATCACCTTTTGACGAAGCTAAGAGAAAAGCAGAAACTCTCTTGGTCAGAGGTGATCAAGCAATTTTCACGTCAATTCCCCGGGCGGAGCAAGGGGTCAATACAAGTCTACTGGAGTACAACTCACAAGAAAAAACAGTCATCCGTTCCCTTATCCTTCGATTGATCTCATGATGTTCTAGTCTTGCCTCTTTTTATTTATGACATTGGAAATATCGTAAATCTTCAAGTCATTTTGATAACAATTGCAGACGTACCGGTATGTCTCAGCGTGTGTGCGCGTAGCTTTCAGGATCGCAGATCTGCCACAGCGCTTTGCTTTCGAGTAGCTCAATTGTTATTGCTGGGCATAATTCACATATTGGATAAAATCTTTTAGACTATTGTTTAGACTATTGAAATTGCCACATATATGGACTTGATTTAGCGCATGAGGTGGATCTTCGAAGACTGAAAAGGCCCATCGTCTGTCTAGCCACGCATAGGAAGTGAAGATTGTGATGATCAGGGCTCTAGAATTGGATTGGTCATCGTCTTTGATTACTTTTGAAATTGTTAAATAGAACCCAACCCAGTGTTGACATCCTGTTGGGGCAATACAGTCACAAGGGATGATATCGTTATTCAATATCCAAGTCAATCAATCTCATTGCACCCAATTGCTCGAATGAGGAGGATTCTCAGGATGCTGGATACCGATTCAGCCAGTAACGAATATAGTCGGCTAATGAAGATGGTTGATCGAGGATCTGTTAGATTAGTAAAATAATCCAATGAGCTATGTACTGCGTGTTACGACATAATTTTTCCGGTATGATCGCAATTACCATACAGAACACGGTAATGTGGTTGTTGCTGAATAAGCGAATACCGTAATACAGTGCGGGGAGCCTACTGTCGGAACGTGGTCGTTACAGTACGGACTAGTACGGGCATAGCCAATTGAGTACTTGAGAGTGTGTTTTTTATATACTATAGAAAGTGCAGAATAAATAGGGGATGAGCTTAGTAAGGTCGTTGAGAGCCTTACGATCATCAGGCAGAGGGGGTGCTGAATATTCCTCGGACGCACTAGTAAAATTGCGACCCTCTTTTGTTGACACCTACGGATTTTCCCCCACTTCAGTTGACGTAAGCTCAGGGTAAGCTCTGGGTGGGCTCAGGGTCGGCTCAGGGTTGGTTCAGGGTGGGCTCAGGGTTGGCTCAGGGTAGGCTCAGGGTGGGCTCAGGGTTGGCTCAGGGTGGGCTCAGGGTGGGCTCAGGGCAGGCCAGTCCGGTTGTACGTCAATGACCCAACGCCTCGGCTGATCGATCAATGACCACCACACTATAAACTGCAAGGAAGCTTGACATTGTCATCGTTTCTCCGTCCCTTAAGAGACCTGCAGCATCAAAAAAGAGAAGATATACGAGATTCCTACCTCAGTTGCTTTCATGGGACATATTTTAGAGATTCTTCTATTACATAGATAATAATGGACAAGTCGATATCTATCGCCGAATTTTTAAAGCGATATAGAGAAAAATTGCGAGCCTCTTCCATGAGAAAATAGGGAAGCCATCTACGTTGTCTTCAAATCCCCATTGTACGGTCGGCGGACATTTAATAACGAATTTCTAATTTAAGTACAGAGTAACACAAGGAATCGATATCTGGAGAACTTTGAGACTAAGTACCAAGCAAGAGCATCAATGGTATACCGTGTCTCCAAAGATTACATCCCCCTAATCAGTTATAAGACCATCAAATCAAACCAGTGGAATTACAGTATAGATGAATTTCGGTGTGATACCGGCGCTTAGGTTCCTTCCGCTGATAGGCGGGTAGAGCGCGTATTTAATACCTTTGGGAAGAAGGCACTTATCAATAGGTAGTCACATTGCCCTCTAACTGAAAGAAGCAAGAAAACAGCCGCAGCAAAGGGGTTATCTTGCCTTGTCCAGCTAAGATTTAGAAATCACTCTGCCGAAAAGACGAGCAGTCCATTTCAATGATTTCCCAATACTTTTAGCAAAATTGAAGTTGAATGTGTGTAAGTTGCCCTACTGAAAACGCGCATGGGCTTCTTGAGGTTATCATGTGCTACTGACGTATGGTGAAAGGGGGTCTCTTTCTTCAGCGAATGGCTTCCAGGAATTTGGCCTAGGTGGTATACCCAAAATGATGAGGGAAACAGCGGGGAACTAGTAAGTGCAAGAAGTGTGCAGAAATGGCTTGAAGTTTGCTTAATGATTTTCAATCCTACCAAAAGGCTTTTGGACTCTAACTTTAATTTCCAGCAGAAAGCCGAGCCCAGGATAGGCAATGCGGCTCCCAGGGCACTGTTCATAATTCCTAATATCCAAGGAACTCCTCCTGTCAGAGCTCAATCATCTAGATAATTGTACGGTTCATGGATGCTTGGGTTTTACCACTACGCCATCTGGCCAAAAAGGCACAATGTTTGGTCAGCGACCAAACACCCAAGCTACTATATATGCTCGATCTCTGACAATAATGCCGGTTGCTCCTAGGACGAAGGAACCCCTTCCTAGGAACTTATCCGGAATCAGCGGACTGTAATCATCAAACCTGGCTACATATCTTGAGTTACTGTATACAGTCTTTGAAACCAACAGACACTATAAGTTCCGGTTTTCCTCTTCTATGGACTGTTTCACTTCTACCCGTATAGCTTCAGGTTACCTTGACCGTGTTGTGCTACAACAATCGCCGCTACATACTGGATTCTTCTGCGTCGCAGTACCACTCGCCCTGAGCTGAAACCGCCTTTCAGCAATGCGCCCTCCGCTTCTGCACCTGCTGAGAAGAGCGTTTGACATATCCTATTGCAGTGCATCGGGAGTGACAGTCTATCACCAATTGTTATGTCCACGCGTCCTATAGCTATCACACGTCTTGCTTAAACAGTTGGAATGCAACGGTGGTAGCTTGCAATTTTGACCAGTCCAACCACAATGCCTCTTCATTCCTGCCAATCATGCCGCAGTTTGAAAATTCGATGCAATCGTGAAGTTCCCCATTGTCAAGCTTGTGTCAGGCGTGGTAAATTGTGTGTTTATGCAATGAAAGGGACAGACCGGAGACCTGCTCTCTCAGAGCTACGGCCAAATCAGCAAAAGCAGGTACAAGAGGGTGAATTTGGTGATTACCAAACTACATGGAAAGTACAAGAACCGCCAACCGAACAGGCTTTGCAACACGGAACGAGTACAGCTGAGGCTATGCACCACGTCGTAGGGTGTACAGATGATGAACATATTCAGCACTTGAAGAAGAAGGGTTTCAAGCAAGATCAAAATCCGCCTTACGAGATACTACCAAAGATTGTTGCGGCTACGGTGGCGGAGTCGCTTTCCCAAACAAATGGCCCTACAGCTGCTGAAGATATTATGGAACGGGGTCGAAGCTTGTCAACCTCTCAAACGACAAAGCCGTTTGTGCAGATGACCCCTCCGGTGATAATCACAATTTATGAGGCTTTGAGACCCACGACTGACTGTCAACCAGACCTCTTTGCCTCCACGGCCGAATTTTGATTTTACCATAGCTGGGAAAAGCATTTACGGTCCACCCACAGTCCACCAACTCTTGTTGGTTCTAAGTTATCTTTTCATTTCCTCAATGCTTCCTATGGATGTAGGAGCTCTGTGGAAGGTCATATGTCGCCGCGGCCGTGACTGGGAAGAGAGCTTTGTTTTGCTGGATGGTCATCTTCAAGGATGGCTAATCGGTGCCCGCGAAGCTTTGACTGAGTCCGACGGGCTGCACACAGTAACATTGGAAGACATAGAACTCCAAACAAGGTATATATTGTTCCTTATCGGGCAAAATGCATCCCCTCACTCGAGCTTTCTAGCTGAAACCTTGCAAACCGAACACGCTCCGTACCGGCCGTTTGGAGTGAGGGCAAGCGTCGCATTGATTTGTCATGTTTTTCAAGGCATACAGGCTGGTGAACTTGAGGGATATGAATCCAAGGAAATCTGGACTCGTGACCAAACCTTTCTGTCAACGATGGCATGCCGGCTCAAAGAATCGCCACTGTTTGGTGCCGAGGTCTCAATGTATCATTTGCAGTCTATGATACTAAGCCTACAGAGAGCTTTTCAGTGTGAAGAAATCCGTGTTTCCAGCATGGAACCCCGGATCCTGAGAATTGATAGCCAATTAGAAGTGGCGGGATATTACCGAAGGGCATTTCTAGCTTTGAATCCGATGTTGTTGCCAAAGATATTGGACTCTTTGGGTGAAGCTATTGATATCCCTACCCTGTCTGGTCCGCACCAACTTTGCAATATGGAGAGAGGACTTGAAAGAAGTAAGTAAATTGATATCCAGACTGATACGGTCTTTGACATGGGTATAGCCAACCTGGCCTTACGTCTCGCCGACATTTTCAGGTCACTTACATCACAGCGCCTGGACGTTGCTTTCAAGACCACGCATGAGATCCAGCGGTCCAAGGCGGATAAAGTCGTTGCCATTGAGATGTTTCATGTCAAATCATACGAAGAAACATACATGTTGGACAAAAGCTGTAAGTCACGGCATTACAAATTTTGCCAAAAAGACTTCTAACAGTTGCAGATCCCACAACTGTTCGGATTTTTCATGTTTGACCGTGAAATTATCGGATGAGTTGGAACATCAATATAACCCTTTTGAACCCTATATACCAAGATGATGTGGAAGTTGAGATTGTTGTACTGAAACAAAAAGCGTTTTAGACGCGAAGATTAGCGGAGAATGAGATGAACTGTCCATAATTTCGATTTGTAAACTCATGGGCAACATGGTTGATGGACTGCACTGAACCAGGGTAAACGCGGCGAATGAACGGTGGTGATGAAAATCCGTGTCAAACTAAATATGCTTTAGTGAGGCGCTTGAACATATCTGTGTCAGTGAGAGAGTAGCAGTGTTTACTAAATGTATAGAGCAATGTTCAATAGCTCCATCGACATCACCAATTGCGGTTCATGCTCTTGCGGAACTCTGTTTGCCTTTGTCATATTCACCGTAAGGCAAATTTGCATTTCAGACTGGAGAATGAAGACGTGGCTCGCACTCAATTACTTTTTTAATAAAAAAGCAGAGAAGTAAAAACTCAGCTAGAAATATCGTGTGCTGATAATGTAATGTGTCTTCACTATACTTGCAATAAAAAGTCATTGAACCCAATGCATATAAATACTGCTTGCTCCCTGCCTTTGACCGGCCTTTGAACTTTACGAACTCCCACTTCACAACTCAGTTACCTACTTCGCTCTCCAACTCTAACCTAGAGTTCACAATTTACTCCCTCCAACCTCCCGAATGAAGCCCCTCACATGCCTTTCCCTACTGGCTGCCTCTGCTATCGCCGCACCTATCGCCAGTTCTTTCCCCAAACACTTCCACCTCAAGTCCAGAGGCGCCACCAACCAAGAGCATAACAACCTCTATGTTTACGCATACCACACGGGCCCAGGCCTCAATGATGCTGCTCTGACCAAGGATGTGAATACTGCAAGCTCTGTTTTCTTAACTGGCACAAAAGCCCTTTTCAATTTCAACACTGAATTCTCTTGGGGAGTCGTCGCCACCGGCGATACCAAATATACCTGTGAGTACTCGCCCCTGGAACGTCGCATACTGGTTTGAATACGGACTAACGAACTTTGTCAAGCCTGGGATCCGATCTCGATCAACGCAGGCCAAGGAAGTAATGGATTCTCTGTCAAAGGCAACAACTTCCAGTGGTCAGAAGTCAGCAGCTTCGGTGGATGGCTCGGTAAGGCCCCAGCGTCGGTGCTCTCCCCCAGAAGAAGATTTAGTCCTAACATTCGATAGTCTGCGACTGGTATCACAATGTGCCCCAGTTGTTCTACTTGAACCGCGATCATGACGCCGCTATCCCCTCCAGTTGCAGCAAGGTCCAATTGAAGGTGGAGTATATTAAATCGACACGGTAGCATTGAATTTGATCACTTTGCATAGCACTACATGTGATGATTGTTTAATGACTTACATTCTACTAGATGGTAGCAAGTTTGAGTGAAAAGTTGCGCCGAATTACCTTTAAAATTGGACGTGGCTTGTTTTTGTGCTATGCAAATTCTGCTAGTAAAGCATCAGGATACCAAATGGAAAAGACACTAGTAGGAATAAAAGGTGATGCGCGAAGCACCGTGTCATATTATGGTTGAACTCGACTGACTCCACCTCGAGTTGTGAAAGTCATATACCTGTTGATGGCTCAATCAGCCTTGGGAACGCACATATTTGCCCTAGGAGTTATCTTGCCCCCGGGGTTTCGTGCGACTATTCCCAGGAGCAACATGGCCGCCAGATCATAGTTGGTTATTAATTGGAACGTGTGGAAGGGAGTTGCATTTCCGGTCCCTCGGCGGTTGTTATTGCGTCATGATTTGGGTGCCCGAAAGCTACAAAAAGAAACATTCAACCAGCGGAGTCTCTTTGCCGTTCCACGAGCGCTGGGGCCTTCAGGTTTATTGGTTCACAGTCCGCTATTATTGTGCCGATATGAAAATATCAGTTGAGTGTTCTCATTCCAGCATCTCTGGGATGTACGGGTGGTGAATGGTGTCACATATCATGTCCATATCAACGTTAAAACATGAAACAACAATGAACACCAAAACATGTGAATCCTCCGCCCATGGAAGATATCTATCTGAGCCGTGTTGCTCACATTCTTGATAGTGGGACTTGGTTTAATTTGATCAGTGCAAACTCGTTCTTGATCGGCCGCGTTGATTCACCAAACAGTGGCAGTTGTCGCACGGTTGGAAACAGATCCTAACATTGTTGGCAAAACAAGCTCAACAGAGGAGACAAAAAATTGGTGGCTACATTTTCCTGAGGAACGGTTCGGGAGTTTGTCAACCAACAGCAAAGCATAGCTTCCTCGTCTCACGATTTCACCGAAAATGATATGGCCTATGTACAACCTGTCACAATCTTGAAGATGTTGAAAGTATTCTTGCCCCGTTCTACAGGAAAGTAAACCCTGGGAACGCACGGGACGATTCCAGGACCCGCGTTACTCCCAAGGGATCGGACACGTTTTCCAAGGCCGTCAACCTTTACTGTAAGAGTGCTCCAACTCGGAACATTCTCATCCGGTAAATTCCTATAAGGATTGCCAATAAGGCAGCAGGTGATTAAAAAGGCGTCTGTGGCGGCTCGATATCGGCTGTGCTGCTCTTTGAAAAGGCAGCCTTTGTGTGAAGAGCACATAGCACATATAAACTTCACGGCGCCCGAAGATATTGACCTGCTTCATCTTTCTCCCTCTCACTCCATATTTTGTTTAACTGTTCCCTTGAAACGACACCTGCATCACATTCTTGCATTCGATAAATCTGCGCTTGTGGACTCAAAATGCCTCTGAATACTGTTGGGGCCGTGATACGGCTACGTCTCCTGATTTTGTTCCTTACCACCACCTGGCTGGCCCTTGCCAGTCTCAGTTCGGCCATTGTACGCTTTGCAGTCGTCCTGAGGGACTGCGCAAAATCCGACCTCGTCACCCCGAGCGACTCTATTTTGGACGTCACATTCCAAAACCTCATGGACAACGTCGTCGAGGGCATGGTGATTGTGGCCCTTATCTCAGCCTTGTTTTCCATCTTTGGGTTTGTCCTTGTGATCTACCCAAAGTGGCTACAAGAGAACTGCAACGCTCGAGTTTACTACGGTTGCGTTCAAATCATCGTGAGCTTGGCCGTTCTCTCCCTAGGGGGTTATGTTGCCAGCCACGTCCACGGGTTTCAGACATCCTTCGAGTTTTTTGACAGTGAGGACCACTTTCCATACTACAAGATTATGTATTATGGGGCCATTGGCCAGGCCGCTTTTGGGTCTCTAGTGGTCATCTTGTCACTTGTTCGTTTTGTCGTACGTGACTTGTTTGGTCTCTAGCTGAATACGCACACTGAGCCGACAAAACAGTGAAAGTGGCGGTCCGAAGTGCTCCAACAAGTAGGGCTGTGAAGGAACTAGATAGCGAGCACTTCGAATGAATACTGTCGCAAATAGTCATGATGAATTTTCGATGGATGAGTGAAGAAGATGTGGAATTCGAAAATATTAGAAAAATACGACGGTCAAAGTCATGCAAAGGAATAGATTTACTCCAGAGTTGCTAAAATAATTTAGCAATTGGATTTGATAATTGGAATTAAAGCGTGTTCATCTCTTGATCTGACTAGCGGGTCCATCGTGGCCGGCCATGGAGCAGTGCTCTGAGCGGCTTAATTTAAAAGACAGATAATAGTTGGCCACCCTTTTGGTAAGTATTCACCAGCATTTCTGTTTTTGAAGACTTCAAAAGCTGACCATGGAAACATGTGAGTAGCCCGGGAATCACAGAGCCCCAGGAAATCAAACGTACAGTAGCTTGTAGGTCTGTCCATGCCCACTATCATCAGTCACGTTTCTGTTGACAGCTCTATCAGTGCTAGGAACACTCATCATGGGCCTGGGAGCTCTCCTGCTCCCAGAGGCTTGTGTGCGGTTTCAGGGAGAATATAAACAGCTTCTAGGAGCCATGTAGCCTCCAGGAAACACGACGTAAATTCTGGGGCCCTGTACTTCCGCCTCGAGGAATCGAAAGTCCTGTTCCTGTTGCCAGCTTCACTAACTCCTGGGACCACAGCTTGGCCTTCTGGGAATAATTAATGGCGCGGATTTGTGCGCAGGTCTGGCGAGGGGATCTTGTGAGGACTCCACTTGACCCTCGGAGACAGAAAATTAGCTCTAGGAACCAGAAACAAGGTCTCAGGAGTGCAAGTGTTCCTAGATCCAGCCGAAATGTTCCCAAAGCCATTTCTTATTTATTCAGGAACTGTACTGAAGGCCCCAGGAATAATTTTTGGTTCCTCGAGAATATGAAGGGCCCTAAGAGCTAACTTGGGGCTCTGTCAGGGATATACATGAAGTGTACGGGACGGATTGAGATTGAGATATGATCTGCGCGGGACCCACATGGTGTACATGGGTTCCCCTGAACGCGAGGAAGCTACCTTTCTTTTGCTTCCTCGCACTACGTCTTGTACCTGGAGTCAACTATAGTTGTTCTTAAGATTGACTGTTCATCTTGATACACTATCCACCTCTATGTATAAGTGAGACCCTCACATGCTCCCAATGAATACACAGCTCCTAGGATTGCTGTTGGCGTTTCCAGGGCCAATGCATTAATTCCCAGAGTCCAATCAAAACTGACAAAAGGATTTGTCAAAGATTATCTCGCCGACCCCAAAGTTGGGTGTCTTCACACTCAACAAGGTTGCACTTAGCTGAAACCCCAGACAAGGTACTAGCGCGTCAGAACTATATTGGGACTCGGTTTCGTTCTGGAAATGAAGCGATACTCCCAATAGCTTTTGGTTCGGGTGTGAAAGCCTCACGTATACATAGAGGCTGGTATTGTCTCGAGGTGAATAATCCATATTAAGAACAACTATAGTTGACTCTAACTACAAGACGCAGCGCGAGAAAGCCGCTTCTGCTTCCTCGCATTCAAGGGATCCCAGATACACGTCCCGCATATCGTTTCTCCACGCATCGCGTCTGCTTCATATATAACCTTGAACAACGCGACTGGAGCTCCCAGGAACTAACACCGTTTTTCAGGAATGAGACGAGAAATTTCGGTCGCCAAATAAGCCCAGACTTCATGCTCAAGCATGTAAGGGCCCAGCGAGAATAAAGTCCCACTACGTGCTTTCTCAAGCATCTATATATTGCACTCTTCCTACTTGATCACAGATACCACTCGAGAATAGAACTCTCCAAACGGAAGATTACACCCCAGATCTCACAATCACCCCGAGGCATTTACAGCTATTCCTCATCATGGCCTGGAATCCTACTCATCTCCAACGGGTATTGGGCCAAGCATTGGGCGATCCCCTGCACCGTGAGCGGTGCATATGGGATCACTGTCAAAACACCGTGCCGATTGATTCCCGGATAAACGGAGTATTGTGCTTTCAGCTCTCCCAGAACTCTTCTTTCGCATATCCTTTAGCGCAAAGATTATCTTTGGCTGCAAAGCAACTTTTTTGTTTTGAGTGCAGACGCCATAGCTCTCGACGAAAGGTGTGGGCCGACCAAATTTTGCGTTTGTTAGATGCTCGCCTGGATCAAGCCAAAGATGTCATGGGTCAATCGGAAATTCATGATTCGCCTCTATTGGTACATGCGTGGCCAAGCAGCATGCCCTACAGCGTTGACATGGCCGTGTTCCCCAATGAAGCATTCTCAAACACAAGGAAAGACTGCCCGAAGAGGCAAATCGAGCGGTGCTTAGGTTGGCCGGAGCCGTGAAAATCCGTCGTCCGGATCTTCTCAAGACGAGAAACCCCTTCAGTTGAGCTGTATCCGTTACATGCCTCCAGTGATAAGCACGGTGTTCTCCGATAAAGAAAGTTGATTGACGTTCTCTGGCAACTGTCGCATGTTTCCCACGGAAGTGGCCACCCGAAAACTTTTGCTTTTTCAAAACCCACCCGCCCCGCCTGCTACTCTCCTCGCGGGATCTGAGTCAGATGATGAGTTGAGCTTGACTCTGTTTTGTGACGCTCTGTGGTGACGGACTGCAAGCCAATCGAGGTGTCTGTCGTTTCATTTTCATGGTTTTTTATGTTTGTTGGGGACACCTCTGGGGATGGGGCAGCTGATCGCCGCATGCGTTCGGATTCAGAAGCGGTGGCAGGGATATCTGGGAGATATTTTGATCGACAGGGAGAAAAGACTTTGGATGAATTTTGAAGCTTTCGCTTAAGCTTTGGGAAACAAGAAGTTAACATTTTTTTGATAAGTCCCGATTGTATTTGCACTTGTAGTGTGTAGAAGTCTGACAAAATGGTAGTTTGAGGAGATCTTTAGAGTTGGGAAGTGACTATTACATCCGAAGGATCATTGGGAACCGGATAGAAGACGA